TCATTATAAATACTAATGCATACGAAGTCTTACTGAATAAAATTATGAGGTAACTAGATTGTCAGGTTTGTACTATATTCCTTTTTCCTCATAAATAAGCTTTTCCCCTTTATACCATACATTTTTAGTAGGTTGCATTAGATTCTGATGTATAACTCATTATTTTAATGGACCACGATATGACCCCGTATTTACGAACAGTCAAATATGCTACGGAATTAATCTTCCTTTCCACATTCGTATATCATCATACTTGGGCGAACCCAGTTTGTGCGACAGTGGTAATTAGAAGCCAAATACGAATTCGGTTGGATAAGTTTATTTCAAGCAATCGCTCATACATTCGTTTAAACAGACAGAAGAGAATAAAAAAGCCTACAAGCAAAGCAAAGTGAAGTGGACAAGTTGGGCGAGCCAATACATGTAATGGGGCATGACTTAGGCATTTATAGTCAGACGAAAATAAACCAGACGTGCGATTAAGCATAGTGACAGATGCACACGCAGACAGTCAAATAGAAACAACCACAAGATAAAAGCAAATAGTTGACAAGGTCAAAAGATCAGGGAATAGTAACTCAGGCAGAATAGATGAGTTAAATTGTCAGAAGGCTTGGGACAAGCCCTTTGCGCTCGACATAAAAGCACGCACACTATACACATTCATTTCATACAAAATTGTATCTGAATATTATGGTGACAGTTTATGATGAAACAGTCTTCTCTAACTCATCACACAGCCATTTTTGGTCTCATTTTTATGTATAGTTGTTATTCTTTCACTTATTGATGTAACATGGTCTGATTTTGCAACGCATATATGAAGACATTGCATTGCGGGGTTGTTGTGAAGATTGTTAAGTTTTATTGAAACCATGAGTCGATCAATGTTAGACCACCATTAGAAACCTGGAAGCACTGAACGGCCGTTTCGTCTTGGTATGGGACTCATCAGTAGTGCCCATCCACGACTCATGCACCCCGCAGGATACGAACCCAGGACCTTCGGCATTGTGCGCGAACGCCCTAACCGTTAGATCACTGAGCCGGTATCTAACGGTGTTAATGTCTAACTTGATCAAATTCACGGAGTTGCACAACCTCATACACTGTATACATCCGGACACGTTTGAACTTCACTGGTCACGACTTCCCACTAGAACTTGGAGAAGATTCCTCACCAAGCTAGTCACTAGTGAACACATGTAATTGCATTGCGGGGTTGTTGTGAAGATTGTTAAGTTTTATTCGTAACCAGGTGGTCTAACGGTTAGGGCGTTCGCGCACAATACCGAAGGTCCTGGGTTCGAGTCCTGCGGGGTGCAAGAGTCTTGGATGCGCACTGCTGATGAGTCCAATACCAGGACGAAGCGGCCATCCAGTGCGTCCAGGTTTCGAATGGTGGTCTAACATTGATCGATTCATGGTTACAAATATGAAGAAATGTCTAAACTGTGTAATAACGACCTTGATCAGTGTGGACTAGTGATCATTGGTCTTGCATTCTTTCTCTGTGTTCCAGAGCAAGCTAGTATTGAGTCGAAACCGTCTTAGCATATAACGAGTATCAATTCTCTTATCCTTGTTGTGTATGGCCCTGGTTGAGATCCACCAGACGAAAGTCACCGATGGTTAGAGACCTAGAATGACATGGCTCAAAATGGTTTGCAGTGGGCCCAGAAGCATCCACTCTTTGCGTTCTCTCAAATTCTAACCTTCTGAATTCCTCATCATCTCTATTTTTCTCTTTTATCTCACTGAATGATACAGTTTGAATAATATCTTTGAACACTATTCTTCTAGATTGCTGCTAATACTTCTATTATGTCTACCACTATGGGGTTTGAACTGAACCATTGCGCCCCTATGCTAATGTGGTATTCCAACCTGAACTTACGTATGTACGTACGTACGTTTTGTAATTGACTGAATGACTGACTGCTGTGTATGGTGGTTTAACTAACAGTTGTCTCCGCGTATTGGTGTTATTGTGTACAAGTGTTCACACACTTGAACACAATGATAATATTTACTATCTTGTACATTTATTTTTATACTGTGTACATTGACAGTAGAATTCATTTTATGAAAACAACTGATTTCAAACTGTGAGATTTACCTGAACAGATTAACATGACCAAGTTTCATACATGTTTATGGTAGTTAGAAATTCAATACAGATTATATGACGACATTATCTCATGCACTATTTTTCAATCCGAATGTGATTTTGACAGCGAGAAACAAATGAAAGCTTGTATGATACTTCTACTACATCTACCACTATGTGATTTGAATTGATAATTCCATCTTTCTGTGCATTAGTGTGGGGGTATAGCAACTTGAACTGATGTATGTAAGTACGTAGAAAGTGCTACATAGTTGCCGAATGATCGAAATATATATGTGTACAAATAATAGACGATTATTTTTCTAATATTGATGTTGCTTACTTACATTTAATAGAGATGACCTTGTGATAAAATAAAAAAGAGAGAAGCTAAAAGGGAGACTGAGCAGACAACACACACTGCTGTGTGATATGTGGATTTTCATGCTGTTAGAGGTGTACAAATCAAGTCAGTCTTCTACAACGTAGGAATCAGCACGTACGTACGTTGTCAAGTTGTCATACTATCACATTAGCACACACACAGGGGGAACTGTCATTTCAAATCCCATAGTAGTAAAGGTAATAGAAGTATTAACGGTAATGGAGAAGATTAGGGTTCGAAGATATTATTCAAGAAGTATCATTCAGTGAGATAAACTTAAGAAAGAGAAAGATAGAGGTGATGAGGTATACAGTAGATCAGAATTTCAGAGAACACAAAGAATGGATGCGCCTGCGCCATTGCAAACGGTTTTGAGCCATAGGTTACTATCGTCTCGCGGACCCCAACCTCAAGTAGTCTACACCTACCAACATGGCTTAGTTCAGCTGTCGATGACTTCATAGATTTGTGCCATGTTTTGGTTGCCCCTAGCTTTCTTCCAGCCTACCCATACACCACAAAACAGCTCGTCGAGAGAGAATTTGAGAGAAGTCAATGAATGGATGCATCTGCGCCACTGCAAATCAAACCACTTTTTAAAAATAGTCAAACAGACTGAAGTTTACTACTAAGATTTAAAAACTCAATTGTTGTGCATAAAAACATGAAGGAAACAACATGATTATCCTGTAGGTGAGTTTGATCTAGGGAAAAAGAATTTTAATTACCCGAATTGTGGTGTTTCAAATATTTCTCCTCTCTCTATACGTTGTTCAATAAGTTTCTTTTTCGCTTCAACTCGCTCTAAAGTTGGATAATTTCTGTAAAAAATCAAGTAAACAAAACAAAAATGGTTGGTAATATTAATTACTTTACACTGGACAATCAGCGTTTAAAAGAAAATCAGTTAATTTTACGTGAACAATCTAGGTAAACTAACTCCACCTGGAGCCTTTTAGGGGTTATTGTCAGTCCCAAGCCCGGATAACGACTGAGGTTGAACATAGGGATAGCGACTCCATCCCGTAGAAATCCTAAGCGCTAAATAAAAACATTAAACAGGAAAAATAATTCACTGAACGGCGGCCTATACTCCATTAGGGGTAGTAACAGGCATAAAGTAGGTGTACGAGGATGCCTTGCTTCAACAAAAAGTACTTCAGAACAGCAAATTAAAAAAAGATGAATTTGAGCAAAAACTGAAACAATCTAAAATGTAAGCGGATAAGGAAAAGATTTAGTTCACTACCTAAGTCTTTCACACACATGCTACACTTAACACCCCTACTTGTAGTAATGATGTGATTCATTTATCAAATACCCATTGATATGGCCGGCTTTAAGCCAAATATTGGATATGAAAGCTGCCCAGACGAAAGGTGAAGAATAGTATGAATATACTGTCTAGTGGTTGAAAGTTGAACTACGTATACATCGGTCAATTGCACTATTAGCAATATCGAAGCAAATATACGGAATACAAATACGGCTAAGACGAAATGAATTTAAAATGGTTGCCCCATTAAATGAATTATATAAGTTTGAATAAACTTTGCTCTACTTTGGAACTAGTCAAAAACACATGTGACCTAGTTTCCTTTTATATCTAAAGTTGGTCACATTTATGAGAGACACACTTAAAGTGACTGTCGTTCAGATCCATATGGGTAAGTGTATCAGTCAGTCAGATGAAACGTAGAACTTCGTACGTATGTACATAAGTTCATGTTGCCATACCACATTATTAGCACAGAGACGCAAATGTCAAACCAAATCCCATAGTGATAGAGATAGTAGAGGTATTAATGGTAATAAAGAAGACTAGGGTTTGAAGATATTATTCAAGAAGTATAATTCAGTGAGATAAGGTTAGAAAGACAAAGGTAGAGGTGCTGACAAATCCAGAAGATTAGGATTTAAGAGAGCTCAAAGAACGGATGCACTTGCGCCATTGCAAACGATTTTGAGCCATGTCGTTCAAGGTCTCTAACCATTGGTGACTTTCGTCTCGCGGACCCTAACCAGGTAGTCTACATCTACCAACATGACTCAGTCCACTAGTCAGTGACTTCATGGATTTCTGCCATGTTTGGTTCGTGTTCGTCTAATAGCTGTAACATTTGGCTAGAGATATTGGTTGATACAGGTCAAAGAGTAGTCGCAAATGCATTAGCATTTCACTTTTAAACACCAAGTTTATTCCCTTCTTTTCCCTCTTAACTTCACTAGTTCTATTTTCAAAAGTTTACAACATTTGGTTCGTTGTACTCCACTTACTATTTCCATCTCCATGGATCAGACTCTATTTTCTCATTTTTCTGTGTTGATGTGAAGTGCATACTACTCGTAATAGATCTAATGTCGACTACAATTGAACGATGCTTCATTTTGACCTCAATTATGACCAAAAACATTTGTAATATCAATTAACCTTTACCCCTTTGATTTAGATTTAACAACATAAATGAGAAAAACAGTAAATATCCAGTTCGATTAAGTTGCAAGGTACATTAAAATCCGTAATTAGCATATTGTCTTTCAGTAGCTTTCGAATCTATGTTAAAATATTTTTTTGGAAAAGTTACTGGGATACACAGTTTACTTGTCTGTACACACAGGGTTATATTTTAGATGAGTTATGATAACTGTAAAAGGGAACTTATGGAAAACAACAGGTTAATAGTTCCTGTGTTTATCGTACCAAACTTTATGTAAATAAGAATATTTTAATGAATATATGAGAGTCTCTCACATTTTACAAAAAAAGATAATAGCCTTTCATCTAAGGGGTTAAAGATTCTGTAGTATGCTTAAACAGTGAACCCTGTTAGGTTTACTGAGGAGAAAAAAAAACAATCTTACCGTTTACGGCTTTCTCTCCAAACTTTTACTGACTTATTGAAATTTTGACGATACAATGCATCAAACAAACCACTGTTATGAATCTGTAAAGAAAATGAAAAAAAAAAAGTAATTCATTTCAATTCATTTGAAAAATTACTGACCACTTCTTGATGAACACGCATTACTTTCTGATGTGATGTAAATGGACAATCTTCCACAGGACACTAAAAATTAAATATTATTATTATGAGAAGACAATGAAAACTTACTTTAATATGATTATCTAAATGTTTTCTATATTCTTCATCAGTATATAAAGCAATATCACAGCATATTTTCACTGGGTTATAATAATCTTGATCTTCTACTTCAAATCCTATACCATATAATCCACCATTTCTTCGTTGTCTTCTACGTCGACCAACATCTTTGAAAATTTTATTCTGATCTAATTCTTCAAGTGCAGTTTCTAATTCAACAAGTTTATCTGATGCAGTATAAAGTAATTCAAAAGGTGGTAGTTCCATAATGAATAAGTCGGGTGGTAATCTTAAATCAAAAAAAAAAAATAACGAATTGCAAACATAGTTAAATGTTAAATACAGAAACGAATTTAAGTTTAAATAGTACAAATTAGAACCGGACTCAGTTTAGTCATGATCAAACCAGTGAAATAAATGTATCAATCAAAGAATTGACGTGGAATCGAGTTAAATTCAAGTTAACCAAGTTAAGCGTCCGAAAAGAAATAATAGCTATTACATCACTGAAAATATAAGCTTAGTTTCGGATCTAGTATTAAGAACTTGTTTATAAGTAATAAAGTGCCGACCAAAAGAAAAACTAAACAGCATATTCTGATTTAACCAAAATTACTTTTTTTTCATCTCGATAGCTTATTTAGTGAAGGATTTCATGAGATCTTTATTACGTACTAGAGTCTGCTGTGGCACAAAAGCCAGAATTCTTTAAATAGTTTGTCTGCTTTAATGATTAAACTGAGATTTCGCCATTTTCAAGGGTGAGTTTGACTAAAACGGTTTCGCTTAGGGATGTAATACAAAGCCGAGGAGAAAAATTGAGTGGATTAAGCCAAGACGGTAAAAACGGTAACAGACAATTGGAGGGACTGAACGCTTGGGTTAGTAACCGTATTTGAAGCTACTATATTCATCATACTATCAATCTTAACTTATGCAATTAAATCAGGACAAAAAATAAAGGCAAACTCGAGAGAAATTAAGATGAAACATCTATTTGTACGCGAAGCTTTGAGTATATTGTTGACAAGTAGACGCTTTCAATAATCCATTCTGGCTAAATCCATTGTAAAATCCGATAACAGTGTTATTGTATAGTGCTCGAAGCTTCTGAATAGCTATTTCTTAAAATTAGAAAAACTAATTATCGTGATTTGCACGCGTGAAATAACTATGTCTGCATACTTTAGTAAGGGCACAACACATGTAGACACATAGTTTATATCAATGAATGTCTAATAACGGTAGCCCACATAGTTCAATTTTCCGCCGAACGAACCAGTATCCAATATCTGTTTCACGGGCTAATATAAACCAATTGGTTTCCTTGAGCTCAATACTTGTTCTTTCGGTGCGGCTACAGGTGTTCGTTAGTGTCCAATGAATGGCGGTCTAGCCATCCAACTGTCTAATTTTAGTCAGTCTGCAGTTGGTTGTGAGTTTGTATATCCCGTGATTTGAATGAAAACGTCTGTTTCAGAGCAGTGGGGTTTCTGGATACCAGCAGTTATCACATTAGCAGACCGAATATCAGCTAGTTTCTATGTGGAGAGTAATAAGGATAATAAGGATAAAATTCTAATGCTAATATGAATAAAATTTCAGAACTAAGCAATGTATAGGTGAATTTAGTTTGTGATGACGATACATCGGTAAGGTGCTGACGTTGGGATGGTTTGGCGTACCTAATATGCTGTTCGTCATAATCTGGTTACCTCCGATTTTCCTTTAACTCAGAGGGAATAATTCCAAACGCTGGAGTCTATCTTCGTAAGGCTTACTTTTCAACCCTACCACCCATTTCGTTTCTCGTCTCTGCACTCGATCCTAGATATTTGACAAATTTCATGAATCCTCCTGGTTTAACTTGGCATAAAGCTGGTAGAAAAACATTTATAAACATAGGGAAAACTGGACATTTATGTCCCAGTATCAGTCGAAAAACAACAAGATACCAACTTTTCCACTTTTGACCATCAAAGAAATTCTACTAAGGTAGAAAATTATTATGACTCTAATCCTAATCCTTGTAGTGTGCCAAATGATTTCATACCTTTGTGTAAGGCCTCATCACTAGAATTTCCAGTTAAATATGATACTAATTCCCCAGCACACTACTAATATAGATTATCCATTAACGCATATAGGAGCACTCAAGGATAATTCAACAAAATCAGTTACTAAATCTACTTTGCGCAGATTGTGTATGATGGACAATTCATCACTGCCAACTCATACGATTGGTGATATGAATCAAAAAGCTTATTTTTATAGGCAAATAAAAGTAAAGTATCGAGACAAACTAAATTCTCTTTTGCTTCTCTTTTGGTTCCCATTCCAAAGAGTGAAGTTAATCAAGAACTTCTTTTAAAATCAAAATCTTTTTAACTAACTAACATTTATTATCAAGATGAAAACATGTCATTTAGTCAGTTGCTCTTATTTCTTTGGATTCGACAACTCCATGCACTAGACAACGATTGACTGATTGATTTCATGAACCAGTATTCTTATTTCTTCATTGTATCTTCATAGATAGAGACGATTTGGTTTGTTGCCTTATTTATTTTGATAACCTATCAGTGTTTTCTTCATTTGATTGTGACCGATTAGGTTTCGTCAAGATTTTACTGGTATGAAGGTGGATGTTACTTTCCGGCTGCCTGCACTGTGGAAGGTCTCTGATAGTCACAATGGGCATCGGCCTCGTGACTTCCGAATCACTGAAGGATAATTAAAATTAACAGGTCCAGCATTATGACAATGCAATCAGTAATACCACCTTCCAGGAGTCTGTAGATCTCATTTCGTACCATCGCCATTACTCCTGACTCCGCCTGCAGTTTCTACTAGGGTTATTGCCGTTTCCAAGTCCGTCAAGTAAAGGAGGAGTCAGTCAGTTACAATGCAGAACTTCGTACGTACGTACGTCAGTTCAGGTTGCCATACGTTATTAGCACAGAGACTCAATTGTCACTTCAAACGCCATAGTAATAGAGGTAGTAGAAGTATTAGCAGTAATCAAAGAGATTAGGGTTCGAGGATATGATTCAAGAAGGGGAAGGGTTGAACATGGAGGGTTAGTGATCCCATCCTGTAGAAATCCAACTTGCTAAAATCAAGAGGCTAACTAGAAAAATTATCCTCTGGTCAGCGGCCTATGCCCCACTAGGGATAACAGGCGTAAGTAAGTAGGCCATTATTCCAAGTAAGATTTTCAAAATATATATGTATAAAGCGCATTAAAAAGCCATTTTGTGTCAAGATGAAATCAAAAGTCACACCACATCCTAGTACTCAGTCAATAATAATTTGCACAAAGTGATTTGTTTCCCTGTACTTATATTATGATGTTACTGTGAATATCCGTAAAATATGTTAACCAGATTAGTTATTATTTTCATTTAATGGTCACAATGAATATTTGAAGTCTTTGGTTCTTTAAATGAATCACTAGCTTTCAAAGTTTACTGTCATTCATTCATCTGCACTTCAAGAAACCACCGATTGGTGTGCTCAGAAAAAAACTCATAAGAACAGGTCACAAATCCAAGAATCGTAATCAGTCTTATTTGTTACTTGAATGCTACTTTAACTGCAGTTATGACACGGTGTGTAGAAAAAATCTAATGAAACTAGATACTGTCACGTTTACTCTGACGAATAGTAACATGTTTGATCATTGTATTTAGCTTATTTAAAGCAAATCCATCTCTAGACGTTCATATTTTGGTTCTTTATCGTTAGCTGTAAAGCTGAAGTCAGTACATGTCACTATTAAATAATGTTGGGGAAATTTGATTAGCCTACGTAGTCCCCAACTGCGCCTGCAGCCCCTGCTAGGGTTACAGCCGGTCACAAGCACGGATAAAAGAGGAGGATAGGACATGGTGTTAGCGATCCAGTATGGTATAAATGCAACTTGCCAGAAAAAAAACCCAGAACAACATTTCGCTGTACGGCTGCGAATGCTCCACTAGGTAAGTAAGTACGTAATCCCCAGTTTATCTCATGGGAAAAACTTAAACGAATCGGAAACAACTACTAGTTCTTCAACTAATTCCTTATAGATGAAACGGTTATTCAGTAAGGCAGATGCTGCATAATTGCTTCCAGCTTGGACTGCTCACCAAAGCATAAAGACATAAAAATTGTGTCGTTATTAATAACTTGATAGAGTATATATTGAGGGCCAATAAACCTACGCAAATAGATTGAAGCAAGGCAAACTTGTATCACTATCAGTTCCTAAATGTTTAAACTACACTGCATTGTGAATTTGACCCGGAGATAACACAAGACTTTCGAAAATAGTAAAACAAATAGTTGTATGAATTTACAAAGTACAGAAGGATGACAAACACTACGGCCATGTGCATTAGTGAGACCTAGTTGGTTTTCAGTAGTTTTATTCCCACAGGCTTCAATCAAAAACACATTAGTAGTCCTAATATTTGAATGAATCGATAATTAATACTGACTTGAATGATGACCATGGAACTCACAGTTCCACTACTGGACAGTAGATCAGATCTGCATTCGGCAAGTTTCACATATCCAATTACTTAAATCAACTTTAGTTTCTAGCTTTATAGATATAAGCCTTTTATCCATATTGAACCGGTAACCCTATTAGACTAAATGACTGAGTTGGGGTACAGCATCTTTTCAACTTTTTTTGTCCACTCACTGACACTAAACAAGTCATTGATCGAATATCTCTAAGTCTTACTGAAGTTGTGAAATACACTGACTAACTGTCCATAGGCTAAAGCATCAGTTCACAATGATTCAGAGTTAAGTATGTGTTGACTGAAGTAAGCAAAGATGATCTCAACAGTATATTCTGCTAGTCTCTTAGTGTTCAACCCAACCAACCAGTCATCCTTTCCTACAATCATCAAAGTTACCTATCGTTCAATAAAATCAGTACTAAAATGGAAGTCATTTGGTTATTATTCATTTATATAAGGTTGTAAATAGTGAACAATTCCTGAATAATTTGAGATTTTATCATGAACCATACACATCAGTTAAATATCAGTTAAATGGGTTGTAATGTCAGCCAGTCAGTCAGTCAGTCAGATGCAATGTAGAACTTCGTACGAAAGTACATCAATTCATGTTGCCATACCACATTAGCACACAGAGATGCGATTGTCAATTCAAATCCAATAGTAGTAGAGGCAGTAAAGGTATTAGCAGTAGTCGGAGAGGTTAGGATCAAAAGATATTATTCAAGAAGTATGATACAGTGAGAAAAGTCTAGAAAATCAAAACTAGAGGTGTTGAAGAATCCAGCAGATTAAGATTTGAGAGAACACAGAATAAATGCACCGGCGCCATTGCAAACAGTTTTGAGTCATGCCATCCAGGGTAAGAATAATTTTGACTTTCCACTTTATGGTCTGATGTGATCTGTCCTCTCTATATTATAAACAAACCATGTCTGTCTTGAAATATCAATACAATCAAGGCTATTTCACGGCTTCTGGTCTCAAAGTCTATCTGTCGACTCGTTTTCAACAGTGCTAGTTAAACTTGTGATTGACTGATCAAGTTAGAGGTTCACAGTTGAATCAATAACTGGGCATATAATCAGGCTTGAGTTTCCATAGCCTCCTTTTGTGCACATCTTTATAATTCTGTTTCCTTTCGAAACAATTTTTACTTTTGAAATATAATGATTCAAGTACAGATAGAAAATGGTTAGAATTTTCTAGATCGTCTGGTTTGTATTCATGTGTCTCTGTGATCATAATAGATGATGCTTATGAATGACCAAACTGTGTGTTGGGGATGTTAGATCCCCAAAACTCGTTTGATAAATGCCTTATTTTGGATTTCACGTTTGCGAGCGTAGGTTGATCAGTTGACCTTGAGATCACATTTCTCACCAGGAAAATCCATGGCTGTGATTGGCTGTTGTGTATTTTAATGTGCTATTTTCGTAACTGTCCCAAGGATGCTGCTATGATATATAAATAATCAAACGAGAGTTGTGTGCTTGATTGCATTGTGTGATTGCTGGGTGTTTGTAGAATATACTTTCTACGCTTACCAAGCCTTATGTTTACAGCTCGGGATTCAAGGTAGCCTATCTGAACGCTGGTTCATTGTCTCGTTCGCGTTTTATCAATTAAGGTGAACTCGTAATAGCTTCAAGCGTACCTAGTGACGAACATAACACTGTGTGCGATCAGTGTATAACAATATTCCAAAACTAACTTGGTAG